TTCTAGGAATTTGGTTTCTGAGGTTGTTGGTTGGCGGGTCTCATCTGAGCCCTCCCTTTCCAAACACAGGCAGATTGTTTTCAGGCTCGTTAATGTGAGGCCTGAGACAATCAGAAGAAATCCTAGAAGGATGGACTGGGACTCGTTTCGGAGGGACTTATCCATTGGTCTCTGTGGCTTCTCTAAGAGGCATGGGACCAATGCAGAGATGGAGCTCTGCGTAGATCATCTACAAAGGGCTCTGGTGAGCAGTTATGAAAAGAACTGCCCAGTGAAAGCGGTTCGCTCCAACAAGAAAGTCTCTTAGTGGGGACCGGAACTGCAGAGGCTCAGGGAGGGGACTCGGCGTGCCTGGAACAGAGCCAAGAACACGGATTGCCCGTTCGAGTGGGATCTTTATTGGTGGTCCCAGAAGACTTATAGGGACTCTGTAGTAGCCGCCAGGAGAGAGAGAGAGAGAGAGAGAGAGAGAGCTGGAAGAGATTCTACGAGTCTATGGAGAAGGTTCCGGAGGCCTCCAAACTCTGCAGAATACTGGTAAGAAACCCGGACTCAAACCTGCAGGCAATACGCCTTCCGGATGGGGACGTGGTTTTGGGAGAGCGGTGTTTGGTTCATCTCCTGGAGACCAATTTTCTGGGCTTCAGGAGGGAACCTGATGTCGACTCGGACGGGTGGGCTGCGGAGCCTAGGTTAAGGCCACGTGATTGCGATTGGGAACTGGCGGCTAGCATTGTCTGAGAGGGTGGAATGGGCAGTCAGATCCTTTAAGCTATTCAAATCCGCTGGACCGGATGGGATTTTCCCGGCACTCCTACAAGAAGAGCTCGGGCAGGTCAGCGGACGCTGAGAGCATGTCTTGCTTTGGGTTATCCGCCCAACGCCTGGAGGCTGGCGAGGGTGGTATTTATCCCTAAAGTTGGCAGAACCTGCTGCACCTTTGCCAAGGATTTCAGACCGATTAGCCTGACATCTTTCCTTTGAAAACGTTCGAAAAGTTGGTCGAGGTTTATTTGAGGGATGTTGTTCATGGGCGGCTTCCGCTGCACGAGAACCAACATGCTTATAGGTGAACTTCTCTACGGAAACGGCGCTCCACTCTCTGGTTAGGTCTCTGGTATCCCAAATTGAGAGAGATCTCATGGAAGGAGACTGTGTGGTGGAGACCTTTCTAGATATAGAGGGCGCCTTTAACAACACCTCTCATGAGGTTGTTTGCAGGGAAGCAACGCTGCGGGATGTCCCGGACAGGCTGGTTCAGTGGATCAGAGGTTAATGTCGGCGGCTGGGTGGATTGAGGGTGCCCACAGGGCGGGATGCTCTCTCCACTTTTGCCTAGTAGTCGACGGACTTCTTAGAAAACTTAATGACAGGGGCTTCTTCGCGCAGGGATATGCGGACAATCTGGCGATCATTGTGCAAAGACCCTTTCTGGACACGCTTCTGAAGCTCACGCAGTGTGCTCTTGGAGTAGTAGAGGAGTGGTGTGTCGACACTGGTCTCTCGGTTAATTCCCGGAAGACGGAGTTGGTTATATTCACTCGCAGATACAAGCTGGCCACTGTGGTAGGACCCACCTTGGGAGACATCAGGCTGACACTGGCCAAATCAGCGAAATATCTTGGAATTATCCTAGACAGGAAGCTGACGTAGATGGAGCACCGGTGTAAGAGCGTAATCACTTACTTCTGGCTATGCAGAAGATCCTTTGGCCAGACTTGGGGCTTTAGGTCGAGGATAGTCTATTGGATCTACTCTGCCATTCTTAGATCTAGGCTGCTGTATGCCGCAGTAGTATGGTGGCCTAGAGTATAGTTAGTGTCAGCGAGAACAACGCTGGAGCACTTGAGGGCTCTCATATTAACAGGGGCCCTTGGTGCTATGAGGACCACGCCAATTGCTGCGATGGAGGTGCTGCTCGGCATCGAGCCGCTTTACCAGACAGGTTGTCGCCGCAACTGCATCGGCGGCTTACCGACTGAGATGTGAGGGAAAATGGAGAGCTAGTACCCGGCCCGACCAAGCTTCCCGATGGGGTCCTTTCCCATTTTATCTTTAGTATGGGGCAGGACAGAATAGCAGCCATTCGTGCCCTGAAGGCGCCTTTCAAGGTATGCTTTCCGGAGCGGGAGAACCGGCTTAGGCCGCAGGGTCCAGTGCTGAAGAATGGAGTCATTCTCTTTGCGAATGGGTCCAGGTTTGGCTCGAGATCTGGAGCAGGCATCTATTGTCAAGGGAAAGGGATTAATGAGTCTATCTCACTCGGAAAATTCGCCACGGTTTTTCAGGCGGGGATAGTGGCGATTTTGTACTATACACAAGGTCTTCTTACCAATGGAGAGAAGGGCAGCCGCATTAGCATTAGTTCGGACAGCCAAGCGGCTCTTAGGGCTCTTGGCGCTCCGACTTTTACATCCAAGTTGGTCTAGGACTGTAGATGCATCCTGGGAAAACTTGCGAGAAATAACGATGTTGCTTTGGTGTGAGTGCCTGGGCATTCTGGCATTAAAGGCAACGAGGGGGCCAACCAGCTTGTCAAGACTGGTTTAGAGGCTGATTTGGTGGGACCAGAGCCGGCGGTAGGTGTCCCCTGCTGCTTGGGCAGGGGGGAGATCGACCGTTGGCTGCGAGATCAGCATTTGGCTTTTTGGAGAAGCGTAGTCGGGTGCAGGCAATCGAGGGCTCTCCTCGGGGATTCTCCAAAGGAGGGCCTCGCTACCTGTATCAAAGCTTTAAGCAGACGAGAGACTGGGCTAGTGACTTGCATACTCACGGGGCACGGCACTCTCAACTATCACTTATATAAACTGGGTCTCAGCACGAGGCCCAACTGCAGGAAATGTGGCGCACCGGAGGAAACCAGCTTCCACGTGTTGTGCGATTGCCCGGCATATGCCAGGGCGAGGTTTGAACTGTTGGGCTCAGCTTTTCTGACGTCCCAACGGATAGGCGATCTCCCGGTCAGAAATATCCTTCTCTTTTGGAGGAGAACAGGCATGAACTGAAGGGTCGCGTATCGGAAAGGCATAATGAACTTTGTCTACGTGCCGTAGGTGGAGCTTTTGCTAACCTTGAGGACCGCCCTTCGTTCTTATACAGGATGGACCATTTTAATCAATCTACGCAAATATCTCGAAAACTGAGCCCGATAAACAAAATGTTTCAGACAAAAGTTGCATGGTTTCGAGAGGGTCATATAATAAAAATATGGACTTGACCTTGAGTGACCTTTTCAAGGTGAGGTCAATGTGATCGACGTTTTCTTAAATGGAAGCCCCATTTTTTATTACATATTCTTGTAGCTTATCTCGAGGGCTTTTCAAAACACTATAATAAAGTATTTTTTTATTAAGTACTTTTTGAGTTATTTTATATTTTAATCTGACATATTTTGATATAAAAAATAAAATATCTCGTAAAATATTTAGTTTTCGATAATCTTACCATAATACTTTTATGCACAGAATAATGAGACAAATCGATCAGCATAAAAAAAATAATTGTTTTTATGAAAAAGTATGTAATTATTTACAATATATATTTTTAATTACTTTATTGTTATTATTATTAAATTTTTAATTTTTTTAATTGTAAAACTGTAAAATTGTAATGTTTTCACACATTTAAAAAACAATATACATTTTCGTTTTAATCAAAAAAGTGTTTGTGGAAATTAATATATTATTATTTCTTTTCTCTGTCCTTTCAGGTTCTGAGAGAGGAGTGGAATTGTGAATATACACGTACATAGGAAATGATAAAATAAAATCAGCTGTGCAGTAAAAATCAATATCATCTGACTTGAAAAAATCTTTAAGAAAACATCGATTACATTGAAATCACCTTGAAAAGGTCACTCAAGGTCAAGTCCATATTTTTATTATATGACCCCCTTGAAACCATGCAACTTTTGTCTGAAACATTCCTTTGAAAAACTTTTCATTTTCGAGATTTTCGCGTGGATTTATTAAAATGTCCACCCTGTATATATTCTATATTCTATTATTATTATTATTATTATTATTATTATTATTATTATTATTATTATTATTGTTATTATTATTATTATTATTATTATTATTATTATTATTATAAAATAAAATCAGCTGTGCAGTAAAAATCAATATCATCTGACTTGAAAAAATCAATAATTGATGACAGATCGGTACGCGTCTAAGTATAATTACGAGCCTGAGCACGCTAGTTTTACGCGATATCATTGACAAACTTTGATCGCTTATAACTCAAAAACTATTGCAGCCTTAAAATTTTTGTATTCGAATTTTTGACTCTGTTTTACCTCTGGAACATGCTAATAAAGTATTGTACGAAGGTTGTGAGATACCCTGTATATATTATACATACATACGTGTATATGTTTTGCATATGTGTATATATTATGCATATGTGTATGCATGTTGTATATAATATGTTTACATGTTACATATGTATACATATTTATATTTTAATGCATTTATATATTACACACACACACACACACCCACACACACACACACCCACACACCCACACACACACACACCCACACACCCACACACACACCCACACGCGCGCGCGCGCGCACACACACACACACATCCATATCCACGCATACACACACACACACTCACACACACACATATATATATATATATATATATATGTGCGTGTGTGTGTGTGTGTGTGTGTGTGTGTGTGTGTGTATGCGTGGATATGGATGAATAAATGTGAATGGATAAGTAAATGAATTTATGAGATAGGGAGAGTGGAAGGTACGGAGGGAAAGAAGGACGAGGAGAAAAAATGATTGTGAATGAGTGTGAATGTGTGTGTGTGTGTATGAGAGTGCCTATAATTTTTGGATACGTGAAAGTTGTATCTTAACCACTCTATATAATTATTTTTCTAGAGAATGGTAAATAACAATCAAATTAAAATATTATCGTCAAAATTATTAAAATCGTCTTGCCTTCTAATTCTTCAACTACTTCATACGACTTACCACAAGACTCCCAGCATTCATTACAAATATTCTATCGCTATCCATAATAGTATTCAATCTATGAGCTATAGTAAATACAGTGCAATTTATAAATTTTGTTTTAACTGTCTGTTGTATAAGGGAATCCGTATAAGGATCAATATTAGCAGTTGCTTCATCCAATACCATAATTCGATTGTTCTTGATAATAGCGCGCGCGAGACAAAACAATTGTCTCTGGCCTACGCTGAAATTTAATCCTTCGTCGGATATTTTCGTATTCAATCCGCCGGCCATTTGAGAGATTATCTCCTTTAATTCAACGTCTTGAAGAGCCTGCCACAACATAGCGTCAGAATACTGATCAAAGGGATCAAGATTTTGTCGTAGACTGCCAGTGAATAAGAATGGCTCTTGAGGAATAATATTGATTTTTGATCGAAAATCGTGCAGAGCAATCGCGCTGGTGGATACATCATCTATACGAATCTCTCCCTCTACATAAGCTAGACGAAAGAGAGCGTTAATCAGAGATGATTTTCCTGCGCCGGTTCTGCCGACGATACCAATCTTTTCTTTCGGTAGAACGGTAAAACTGATATCTCTAAGGATGTAGTCGCCTTGATGACTGTATTTCAAATTCACATTTTTGAATTCTACAAGACCTTTTATCGGCCAATTGTCCGGCAGTTTGATTTCGGGCTTGCTGTCAATCATCGGCTCTTCTTCCAAATGGCTATACTCAAGAATTCTTTCTATTGAAGTCAATTGACTTTCTAGTTCAGCCGTTTGTCTAATTCCCCACTGCAACATGTTTGTCAACGACATGATCTGTGTGATCGTTAAACCGATGTTACCAACTACTGCTAAATCTTCGAAGATCGTAAAAGCTACAATTATCACTCCGATATAAAGTTGGCAGATCATATCGATATAGAAGCCGAAAGCTCGGGATGTAGCTAGGAAGAGAAAGCAGGCAGACGAATGGAGATCTTGATGACTACATAAGTCCGCCATCAATATATTCTCGGCATTGAAAGCTCTGATTGTTGTTAAGCCTTGCAGAGACGCACTGAGATGACCGAAAATCGGCGAACGCGCTAAATAAATGTTCTTTATTATTTTATTTAACTTTAATTTATAATAATTTATTATATATAGACGATATTCGTAGTCGACTCTTTTATATTTGACATATAATAATATTATTAACATAATGTGTTGTTGTTTATTTATATATGAATATTATATGAATGCGGGAATAATTTTAATTTATTAATTTTTATTTTATATTAAAAAATAATAATTAAAAAAATACGTAAATGTGTATGTATTTGTTCAAATTTTTTTGTAGTCTGTTTTAATAAAATTATAAGTAATCAACAGATGCAGCCGTGCCTTGCGCCAAACGTACAACAACAGCGAAGTAAATCATATGACTATACACGATCTGTTTAGTTAAAGAATATTCTTAGAGAATAGTAGATATCTAAGATTATCAGATTTCAATGTTTGGACCTATTACGTTTGATTATTTTCATACTTCTCGTCTTCGTTCTATAAGTATATATATACAAGGTGACCCGCAATGACCGCCTACTTAGTACATAGCGTTATTCCTTACCAAAAACTGAGTCAAATAGTCCTGAACCATTTTTTTTATAACGCTTAGTAAAGGAGTTATTATTGAGTAAAGTCTAGCCAATCAGCGCCGACCTTTAGCTGCGCGGAAGTCGGTGAGCTGCGCGCTTGGTAATGCGCGTGAGCGCTCCGCCGCTACGGCGGCGCGGCGACATTTTTCCTTCGCGCATGCAGCTAGCATGGAATATTTTTATGCATCGTAATAATAGAAATAATTTTTTCTTGTATTAAAAACGATATTCATATAAAATACAAAATAACTCAAAAAATACTTAATAAAAAAATACTTTGTTATCATATTTTGTAAAGGTCTCAAGAAGGACTATAAAACTATGCGATAAAAAATAAAGATATCCATTAAAAAGATAAAGTTGACCTTAAAATAACCTTGAAAACCGTCACCTACAAACATTTCTATAACAATAACTTATGTCCCTCTTGAAATACTGCAACTTTTACTTGAAACATTTTTCTCTAGAAACAATATTTTTGGAGATAAAAATTCGTCACGTTTTATTTTGTCTATCCTGTAAAAATACTGCAAGAAAAAATTATTTCTATTATTACGATGCATAAGAATATTCTATGCTAGCGGCGGAGCGTTCACGCACACTATCAGTAGCGCGGCTCACCGACATGCGTTCGGCAAAAAGTCAGCTGTCGTAACCCGACCAATTTCTTAATATTAAAAGATAAAACAAGTAAAGTAGAACAGAAAAGATTGAGAAAGAGCTGATTAAAGCAAAGCATTAGAATCAGGGAAAGAGCCCAAGGAAAAGTAATTAAGAATGAAGGTGACCTTCACGTGACCTTAACGATGCCATCCAAGGTCAAACCAATGACACCATCTTATGTTCCCCTCAAAACCATACAATTTTTGTTCAAAACGTTTTTTTCTAAATGCTTAGTTTTTGAAAGAAAAGGGGTGTACGGGTGGTCTAGTATATATATACAGGGTGTCTGATAAAGATTGTGTCAACGCTCGTGAGCGGGTAGAGCACAGTAAACTGAACAGAAAAGTCTTGTAACATTTTTTTGTATAACGCTTAATAAAGGAGTTATTATTGAGTAAAGTCTGCCAATCAGCACCGACCTTTAGCCGCGTCTGATAGTGTACGTGAGCACTCCGTCGTTATGGCGGCGCACACTACCAGGCGGGCGTCTCACCTACGTGCGTCCGGCTAAAAGTCGGCGCTAATTTGTGTGTGTGTGACCAGACTTTACTCAATAATAACTCTTATATTAAGCGTTATAGAAAAAAATGGTACAGGACTTTTCTGTTCAGTTTACTGTATTCTATCTGCTCACGACGAGCGTTGGAATCTTTACCAGACACTTTGTATATTGTATTGTATATTGGGTATCCCAGATCATCCGTACCACCCATTTAAAAACTAGAAGAAAGGTTATTTTAAAATAAAACAAATATCTATTTTATAAATCGAGTACGCTCTATCAAATGATGATATTTTTAACTTCCGGTTCCGGCCGGAAATGAGCGATTAATACCGAAAGTGATTTTTTTTTAATGGAACATGATATTTTTTGTTACAGATTCTTGTAGCTTATCTCGAGAGCTTTTCAAAACATTATAACAAAGTATTTTTTCATTAAGTACTTTTTGAGTTGCTTTATATTTTAATCTGACATATTTTGATATAAAAAATAAAATATCTCGTAAAATATTTAGTTTTCGATAATCTTACCGTAATACTTTTATGTACAGAATAATGAGACAAATCAATTAGTGTAAAGA